GGCTGCAGTCACAGGGGTTTTTTCACCCTTCTTAACCCTGTTAGCCCAGAGGTGCTGCCACTGGCACTGACTGGCTTGGCCTTGGCCAGTGGTGGGTCTGTCCTGGAGCAGATTGGCACGGGCTCTATGGGACACAGGGGAAGCTTCTAGCAGCTTCTTATAGATGCTACCCCTGTAGACCCCCCTGCTACCAAAACCTTGTCTCGCAAACCCAATACAGATTTTTAAAGACATAATAATAAAACAGTGTTTTTGCTAGAAAGAGTTCTTCAGGTTCTCTTATTGTGTCAGCTGATCCTCTTTTAGGAAGAATTTCTCCTGCTGCTAAATTCTGAGTTGATTAATGTGATAGTGTATGTGGGAATGTGCTTACCTTTCCTGCAGCTGAGAAAACAGTATGGGGAGAAATACAAAGTAGCAGAGAGGTGAAGAAACCTATTTTTCTGCTGTTGTTAGGAGACCGCATGTTTAAACCTGAACACGTCTCCCACTCAGAAGGGCGTAGAGCTGGAAGACAGCCACATACCTTTTGCTCTAGACCTTGTCATGCTTCCTTATTTTGGAAAGATATTTATTTGACCAAATAATTTTTTTCCATCAGATATTCTTGAGAGGACCCACCTCCTTTCTTCAAGGAGGCAATATAATCAGGAAAGGCTATGGGAGAGATAGTATAGGAGGAATATGACAGGGAAAAGAAAATAAGAGTAGACAGAACAGAGACCCCCATTTGCTGATTCAGTGCTGATGGCTGGGTGCTCTCAGCATTGTGCTGGGTATCTGATGATTAAGGTTCAGTGATGGAGAAAAAAGTCTCTTCGGTGAAGACAGCCTTTTGCTAAGGAATTACGAAGTAGAATTTAGTCCACTTTTTAAAGCTCCATGTCCTTCTCTTCAAGAGCTCAGAAAGAACTGCGGGTGGGTGTATTGGAATAGTCTTACTTATTTTCATCCACTACTTAGTCCCAAGTCCAGCTCCGGTAGTCATTCCATCCATACTTTGTTTAGAAGTGTGGAACGTACCTCAGTCCCTGAGTTCCATTAAATGTCTTTGCTTGAACTGGATTAACCTTTCTGTCTTGTTTCTGCTTGGAGCCTTGTTGTTCCTAGTTATTATTACATTTTAATCTAATTCCCATACTGGAATTCAGTGTCAGCAGAGGTTTGTAGGGCTCCAGTTAATACTAGAGAGTGCCTCCGAAACTGGGCAGCTGGATTTGGGCTGCTGGTACCTGAGTCATTCATACAGCTTATTTGCACAGTCCTTTCCTCCAAAACAGGCCAAGGGTGGGCTGCAGAGCAGGTTACTTGCCTTTGAGGATCAGATACAGCCTGCTGGCTTTCAGTTGTGCACTTCCACGTCAAGATTATTCAAAACACATTTTTGGAAGGTGTGTGGGAATCTGGCTGTATGACCAGGAATTTGAGTAAAAGCTATGGGAGACTGGCAGCACTCAGGTGATTTTCTTGTATCTTCATTACAGCTTTGAAGGCATCCTGATAGAGTTCAGGAGAAACCCACATTAAATTAACTCAGTGACATAAACTCAATTCAGCTACTGTCCATTTTTTCCCCTATCACACTTCTGTCTTTGAACACAATTTCAGGGGAAAAAAAATCAGATGCTGCAAAATAGACATGTACGCTATACTGGCCTCACCCACATAACGTATCTGTATCTCTTTCTGAAAATGTTGCAGTGCATTGTAAAAAATAAAAATTGCTTTCTTGGCTTTTCCACTTCCCAATTAATTTCTGTTCTTAAGTAATCCTGGCAGTCTTGCTCTTATCAAAACAAAATACAATTTATTTTCTGCAAAGTAATTTTCATGGAAATTATGAGATTCCATTTTTAAATTAAAAAGCGTGAGTTTGCCAGTATCTGTTGGTTATGCTTCTGTAATTGAAATATCTAAGAAAACATACAAGATATTCTAATTATTATCCTGACATTTTTTGTAATGCAACAATGAAAACTCTTCAGTCATTCAGCTATTCCAATGATATAGAAATGTGTGAAGTAGCCCAAAGAGCTGTAAAAGAAAACAAGGTCTTCAAGGTTATCAAAACTGAAATCCTTTTATTTATTATTTTAAAACAGATGAATTTATAATGAAATTTAAAGATTCTCTCCTTATTTTATAATCAGAAAAAAGGCACTGTTTAAATAATGTCAAGGTTGAGTGCCAAAACAATTGAAGCTAGCAAATGTGAAATAAAGCCAACACTCTCTTCTTTTCTCACAGTGGTATTGAAAAAAGAGAAAGCTGAAGCACATCATGGAACAGGGAGAAGCAACAGTCAAAACATGGTAAACAAAGTGGACTAATATTCAGAAAAAAATGGAGCAATAAGTAAACAATTACAAAATCAATTTGATCTTTAAAAAAATGTGTTCACTGAGTTTCTTGGGGAAAAATTCAGAGAAATTTTAAGCTTTGGATTAGTAGCTTTTAATGGGAAAGCTGATGATCCCATTAGCTCTGGGTGCTTTAAAAAGAAGGAAGAAAAGAAAATCCTATGCTGAATACTTCATTGTGTATGGGATCATTAAAAAGCAGAGGTAAAAAGAAGAGTCAATGAAGGGGCAAAGAAGCCATGGGAGATGAGGCTAATTCCAATTTTATATATTAAAATACCTTTCACTAAAGGCAAAAAGGAAAGGCCTGATGCTGCCCTATGGTACACAATGCTATCCAATATGCGTTTTGTAAATGTAGGTACTTAACTGGAAATTTCCTTCCTGCATGATATGTGATGATGTGCAATTATAGGAGATCAACGGTGAACATTCATACTGGAGCAAAAACTTCTGAAATGCATGTATATTCATGTATATCTGGTAGAAGACATCAGATCCCGGATTTCATACCTGACTCCTCTTTTGGCTCAAATACTATAAAATTAATGATTTAAATCTTCTGGTAGAGGCCTCAGAATCCATGTTCCTTTCAAAGTACACGTGGCTTATCTACAGTTCAACTTTCTGACATGGACAGGACTTGGTTGGATATGACAGGCTGTAGTCAACGGGTTTAATCATCATCCATGCGAACTTGCACACGTGTTGCTTGTTGCAGTCCTTTTGCCAGTATATCACGTTCCTACGGTTTAGATTGGCTCCAGCACATGCGTCGTACCACCAGCCGCCCCCGGGAACACCATTATGTTCCAGTTTAGCACAATTCTGAAAGTAATTGTCATTGTCTCTGTCCTTAGTGGTGAACTTCTGGTTATCATGGAGATAAGCTTCTGTATCCAGGGTCAGAGCATCAGTGGCGTTGCCTTTGTATAGACCAACCCTGATTCGGTATTGAGACTCTTCATCTTCAATAAGGAATGGTTCATACTGTCCCCATTTGATTTCAGCATTTAGGTTTACAAGCTTAACTCCAAGTATATATTGCATAGGGCTGTTAGTTAACTGATACATATATTCATTTCCTAACCAGTGGTTGTCATGAACGGAGCCAAATCCATATTTGTAATCCTGCCAGGTCCTATCAAAGTCAACAGTGCTATTGGCTGTAATGTGCTGGATTACTGTCCAGCCACCATCCTGCATGTTACAAGAGACAACAATTGGGTCTTCCTTTGGTTGGATGATGTAAAGACCATCTCTGGAATTTCCTTTGGAGCGCTGAAAAATCTCAAAACAATCCCTTGGATAGTCTGAGTAGGAAAAAAAAAGTTTTAAAGTAAATTTCTGTTCAAATAGTAAATTTAACTCCTTTCGAGTGAGTGAATGGTTGCCTTCTGACTGGAAGCTGACTCTGACTTTATCCCAGATGGTGGGTACCTACTGATCTGAAGAGGGAAGATTTCAGGGCAGAACATGGGGGAAATGTTCAGAAATTCAAAAAAGGGTTTTTTGAATAAACCCTGTCATACAACAGATATGTGCATTATGTTACATTTATGACAGAAATATGGTTGAAAAGCCAAAAGTCATGTACAGACCATTCTTTTTCCTCTTGTGTTCTTGCAGTTTGACTAGTCAGCAAGTTTGCAGTTCCCTGTGCCATGTGTTGGACTGTTGTGTTTAATTACCAGAGCTAGCCTTATACTCAACAGATAAATCTGATTTCTCTTTAACCTATGTATACTTTAGACATCTGTAATATCCTTGCATTAAATTCTGATAAGTATGCCATGTGTTCATTGAAAAAAGGGACATACTAAAGCCCATTTCTTCCTAATACAAAACTTATAAACACATGAGGATTTTCTTAGGGGCAGTTCTTGTCACTCATAAACTCCAGGCTAAATCTTACCACTGATTTGCAGGTAGAACTACAGTCCTGTGCAGTGCTGAACACCAATGTCAGGAAAATAGGTGAGAGTGCTTTTCCACTTTCTTGCTTCTCAGCTAGACTCAGAGGGGAATAAAAGTGGCTTATAAGGCTTCTGAGGAGTCTCTCTACTGGGCTGAAATATATAAACTGTGTTTTTTAAGAAGTTAACTTCTTGCTATAGTATAGTATCAAGCAGCTCTGAGACTAAGGCACAATGCTCAGATTTTTTACAATTGACTGTGAGATTTCTAAGAACCAGAATATAGTTTATTTAAATACACATTTATGTATGTATGAATTCATATAAAGATAATTCCTTTTGTAGAGAAGGATGTTATTCAGTGTCTGTTCTGTTACTCAGAAACATGTTTATGAATTAAAATAATTCACTTCTCTATAGAGCTGAAAGGCATGCCATTATACCATTATACTATGGAATATTTGTAATTTATATTTAGTAAAAACTTGACAATTTTACATTACAGAGCACCTGTGATGTAAAATTACAGTTCTTCAGACCTATGAGATCCTATGTTCTGTCCTGACAATGACTGATAGGTATTTAGACACTGTATTTAGAACTTAGTTTTTTCTTCTGGGAAACTGGGGTAATTCAGGAAAAGTATGGCAAGATCATAGAATCCTAAAATAGTTTGGCTTGGAAGGGACCTTTAAAGGTCATCTAGCCCACCCCCCCTGCAATGAGCAGGGACATATTCCACTACATCAGATTGCTCAAAGCCCCCTCCAACCTGACCTTGAATGTTGCGAGGGATGGGGCATCTACCACCTCTCTGGGCAACCTGTGCCACGGTTTCACCACCCTCATGGCGAAAACTTTCTTGCTGAAATCTAGTCTGTCAGCCCTCTTTTAGTTTAAAAACATTATCCCTTGTCCTATCGCAACAGGCCCTGCTAAAAAGTCTGTCCCCATCTTTCTTATCCCCCTTTAAGTACTGGAAGGCTGCAATAAGGTCTCCCCGGAGCCTTCTCTTCTCCAGGCTGAACAACCCCAGCTCTCTCAGCCTTTCTTCATAGCAGAGGTGTTCCATCCCTCTGATCATTTTGGTGGCCCTCCTCTGGACTCACTCCAACAGGTCCACATCTTTCCTGTGCTGAGGGCTCCAGAGCTCGATGCAAGGCTCCAGGTGGGGTCTCACCAGAGCAGAATAGAGGTAGAGAATCTCCTCCCTCGACCTGCTGGCCACGCTGCTTTTGATGCAGCCCAGGGTACGGTTGGACTTCTGGGCTGTGAGCGCACATTGCCAGTTCATGTCCAGCTTTTCATCCACCAGTCCCCCCAGGTCCTTCTCGGCAGGGCTGCTCTTGATCCCTTCATCCCCCAGCCTGTACTAATAGCCAGAGTTGCCCTGACCCAGGTGCGGGACCCTGCACTTGGCCTTGTGGAACCTCAGGAGGTCCACATGGGCCCATTCCTCAAGCTCGTCCAGGTCCCTCTGGATGGCATCCCATCCCTCAGGCATGTCAAAATTTAGATGTCCTAATTAGATGTCAAAATTTAGATGTCCTAATTAGATGTCAAAATTAGATGTCCTAATTTATTTCAAAAATTTGTCAAAGAAACAACTAAGGAGAAATATTTCCAAAGATAAAAATTTAAAATAAAAACTCAGAAAAATACTCTTCTCTTTGCCCAAATCATTGACCAAAGAGCCCCTGCTGATCCTTTTACTGAACACATTGTTTTTCTTTTCCTAAACAGAAAAACGAAGTGTAAAAGAGTCAATCTCATTGTATGGTCCCATGACCAACAGATCAAAACTACACTGAACAATTTATTCAGAAGAAAAAAAAAAAAAAGCCCCCAACTTTCTGGAAGGAGAATGGCACCATGAGTGACTATTTTATCTACTACTGGTCCTGTAGGGAATTATATCATGCAGTCTTGTTCACAGAAATATTAAATTTCTTCTTTTCTGACTGGAAAGCATTGTAGACTTCAGTAACCGTCACTACTTGTTGGAACTACTCATCTGGTTTCCAGTCTAATTTTGTTGATGTCCACTTTCCATCTTTTTCTTTCTCGTGCCATGTTGTCCTTTAGTTAAATAGTGCTTCTTCCTTGGTAATAAGCCGTGATGTACCATGAGGACAACTATATTTTTAATCAGCCTTTGATTTGTTAGGGTAAATTCTATTAGGATAAACAAATTCTTTCATTATTTAGTATAAGATAAATCTTCTGTTCCTTCATTGTCTTAGTAGCTTTTCTGTACTTCTTCACTGCAAATTCATCTCCTAGAATTTGAGTAAAATTTGCACACAGTATTGCAGATGGCCTTATACAGTGCCACAGATTCTTCCCAAGTCTTATTAGAAACATCTCTGTTGATATATTCTAGGATTGCATTTGTATTGCTTAGTTTGCTTTGATCTAGAGTTAGGTCTTTGTGTCTTTGTAACTGGTAAGGTCCTCACTTTGCAGTAAACCCTAGAATTTTGTACTTTATTTTTTATCCCAATGGTATTACTGAAGAACATCTGATTTTTTTTCTGTGCAATATTCTGATTCTTTGTATTGGCATTTCTCTACTTCATGTTATCATTAAATTTTATCACCATATTCCTACTTTTGCATCTGTATACTTAATAAGAATACTGAAAAGATCAGTTATAAGCAAATACTTCCAGTCTCCCCTTGACTTTATGGTTTACTTTTCTACCCAAATCACTGGAATTTTCTTTTCAATTTCTACTGAAATTATAATGTAACTCTACCTTCTCTGATTTAATGTTGCATGAAGTATTGTATCATAGGCTTTGTAGAAGTGCAGACGGACTAAACCTCTTAAACAGCATTATTCATAGTATCAGTATTGTGTTAAATATAGTCTTTTATATTTGATATTCAGGAGTTTATTAGTGCTTCTAAGCCACTCAGGGCAAATTTACAGAAGTATATAGGCTTTCCAAGGTTTTACTTGCCTAATAGAATCTAAAGCCATGAATAGAATACTTTAAATTGCAACACTATCTGCATGACATTATTAAATATCCTGAACGAGCAGAACTGCATACATGACTCTGTACTCCAGCTGTTAGAATATTCACCTGGTAGACATAGCCTGATTCCAAACCTGATCCCGTGATTTTACAGAATGATTATTTAAGTATATGGTGATGTCCAAGCCAGCAATATATACAGTGACATTTGTATTTGCCCTTCTCTGAATATTATTCATGCAAAATAGAACAGCTTCTATAGACAGGTAATGAGAAAATAATTTAGGCTGGTTACTACAGGATTCCCTTGGAAAGTGAATTTTATAAATCCTCAAGTGCCATCAATCAGAGGAGGAAAATGAATCAAGCCCACTACTCTTTTTGTGTATGTTTTATGTGGGATGTATTATGTATTATGTATATTATGTATTATGTGGTGAATGTATTAGAAAACCTACCAAGCTGGACCTTAGAAGCTAGATAGGCAGAGGAATGCCTCAGCTATAGATATCAATGAGATTTAGGTGCTGAGGTGTCAGATGTAATCTAGATATGATTGTCCTAAGAATAAGTCTTCAAATGCCACAAAACTTTTTTTTTTTTTACAAATAATTTTAACTGTTAATTTTTCTTGAATTAGGTGGCAGCTGAGCAAGGGGTTTAAACATTTTGGACTTCAGGGCAGGACATGTTCATTATGCAATTTATTTTTGCAGGGCTAACTTTCAAAAATGTTGGCCAAAAACATTATACCAAAGCAATAAAGTAAAACAGAGCATGCATCCAAATCACTCACTCTTCATGAGTACCTTTTTCATTAGTGTTGTGCAGCCTCACATAGCCTCTTTGGGGGAGAAGGTGGGCATTAGCCAAGACCACTGCTTCTTTGGTGCTCACCAGCATAGTGCAATGAGAGAGCAAGAACAGAATAAATCCTTCTGAACCCATCAATAGCATCTTCCTTCCAAGTCAGTCCTCCTGCAGCAATACAGAGCTGTAACACAGACTGGGATTGAAAATGGAAAGATTTATCACTTTTAGTTGATAGTACTGAAAGTCCTGTGGGAGAAAGGTATTGAAATACCTAGCTTCAATATAGTGAGTCTGCCAAAACTTGCTTCTCCCATCTTTCAAGAACATCTTCTTTTCCTGATGTCTCACACCCTATTTCTGATCGGTCCTTCCTCTGACATGGAGCACTGGGCTGCAACACTTAGAACGTGTCTCACCTCTGTCACCTTGTGCGATGCTGGGCAATGAAACGTATGTTTTGTCACACATTGGGTGTGACAAAAAGCAATAGACAATTAAGTAATTACAAAAGTGAAAGCACATTTTATATTTATCAGAATTGAAATTTGCTTATTCCCTGAGTCCAAACTGTAGTGAAATACAGGCACCGATGGTTGAACT